ATAAGCTCTCGACAGTGGGTAATTATATTACGTCATTAGCTATAGTCGTTATGTAGTTGTTGCCCATGAGTAAACCAGTTGTACTGTTCATGAAAACCAGCGAGTACGCGCGTTTCTCTTGGCTCAGGGAATTTTCGAAGATTTGTTGACTATCTCGTATTCAGCTAAGTTTACCATTTTTTTTATATTCATTTTATTACTATATTGTTCAAATATGTCTGACGTTGAGCAAGAGTCTAAGATTTGTTCACCTTCAGATACTCTGTCCGACACATCCATGTGGGTAACTTTCCATTCGTACCTTTAATTAAATTAAGCTGCTAATACCGATTCGTGTGAATCAGGTCTGGCGGAGTAGTGTGCGGACAAACGGTCCGCGTGCATTTCGCCTGGTAATTTTGTGGAACTCTTTCTCTCGACAAGTGGTTTTGCATTACATTACGATTCAATTATTCTAATGTAAATATCGCGGCATGTATTTACTCCCCTCCCCCTGTAAAACAAAACCCGCCATTGCAATCCTCACAAAATAACCTTTCGAACGGGGGCCAAGTGCCGTCAAAACATTACCCAAACAGAAACAATCATATGTTTATACTCACCGCTTCGCCAAGGCTATATGGCTATATGTGTTACCCCGCGTTACATTATTATTAACATAATACCACGGATGTTATTAAATTAAATTTCGCATTAATTCTGCAAAGCTAACAAAATACAAAATGACAAAACTTCAGTTTATATTTTGGAAATTTATTGTTGTATAGTTAAAAGTACTATTCTTTCAACTAATTTTAGAACCATTTAAAGCTGTCCAAAGAAATGAACCTCGTTCCCTGGGCTTTTCCCTTTTTGTCATTGGGAAGGCGGGAAAAGGTCCTGGTAGTGGGCGGACATCTATACTGATTGGTCAATGACAAGTGCATTATTATGCAAATAATTCATGTTCGATTAATTTATTCAAACATTGGGATAAATTAACATTTTCACGCAAAATGTGTCCACTATTCCGGTTCCATTTTCGTGTCACGCAGTCACGGAATATGACGGAATATGATTGGTTAGGAGGTTAGGGTTAGGGATGGGGAGGGGTGAGGTTTCATGATTGTGCGACATGAAAGCATAACCATTATTCCTTTGTCCGTCTAAGAAATATGTGGCAAATTGGCTGTTAAATTCGATAAGATTTATACACAATTTGTCGAAGGTGTGTATTATTGTTTGTTTTATACTGTGAGAGAAGATTAATTGTGTACTAGAACACACCTCTGAGGCTCTGAACAAGTATTTAGGGCATGATGTGCCGTATTCATTGTCTTCGTATAGCGTATATATGTATTTATAATATATTTATTCACCGTATATGAGCTGTTCTGCAATCTGATTGGTTGAATTACTCGCCGAATATCACCTCATATACGGCGAGTATAGCGAAAAACAAGATGGCGGTCCAAAAACCACACGAGTTTTGCGAAGCAGAAAAAACGAAAATATTCGCTTTGAGAAAGATAATAGTACAAGGAAAACCTCTAAAAAAAATTTGACAGGTTAGAAAAAACATTTATTACATAGAAATTAGTTTAATTTAAAAACAAGTTTTTTAAAGAATTAATACCGAAACAACAGCGAAAAAAGCATGTTCATTGAGAATATAAACTATTCAGAAAAGTTTGTAGCGAAAGACAAATTAATGAATTTGCAGTCAACAAGCACTTACTATACTACCAAACATCTGTATAATATATCTGAGCTTTTCTGTGAGATATACCGGTTCTAAAACCATTTCTTTCACTTCGTCTTCGAGTTGTAAAACAAAACTGTATTTCAAATTTTCAAGGCCAAGCGGTTTTTGGCCGAACAAATTGTCAAGACATTCTAACAGAGGATAATTAATTATTGTTTCAGTTAATGGCTATTAGACTATATTATAAAACAATTACACTATTCGCTCTCGTCGTATATGGCAGATAGCCGACTCGGTGCTGCGCACCTCGTCGGCTATCAGCTCATAATTATACGACTCGAGCTTAATTATGGTATAATTGTTAAATATTTATAAATGTATATATTTATAAAACCAAAGTCTGGGTTTACAAACATACATGACCTTTAGTTTTTGATATTCTTCATAGTCGAGTTTAAATTGGCCTAATTTATAGTTAGTTACCATTAGAAATGCGACGATATTTTATGCAGTGTTTACAACTTTTTTGAATAATATGTGATTTGATTTTGTTTCAGATACTATTACATGTTGCTTCATTTTACCATAAATTGCGTTCAAAAAGTGATTTGCTCATTCTTCTGATGTGTTTTGTTTTGATGATATTAGAAAAAATTTCGATATGAAAGTGCAGGTGTCTTTAGAGATGAGGCATAATGTATATATCAAAACAGATAAATTCCGATTCCAGCTTGATTCTATTTGCATTGTTGCAGACAAAGTTGTGCAATTGTGGGCTTATATCTCATATTCGTATGTAATTCCATGAGCATGCATTTACTTTGATGCCTCAAGAGATACTTCGAATGTGTAATAAAGGGCTGCTCGCAGGAGCTTGGCTGTCTGGCTTTAAATTGCATTGTTTTTATGATATTTTAAGATTTTATTCATATAGTTGCACCATCTTGCCATAGCCACAATGTCAAAAGTTCAAACAGGCTTAAAAATCGGGTTACAATGCATGCTTGAAAATATGCAATAATTTCATTGCTAATAATATTCCAGAAAATACTGCCTCTTGGGCATATCTGGACTGATTTGTCAGAGGAGTTGGAGGTTTTCTACTTTTGATCTGGCAAGGGGAGCTAGCCAAGGGTGCTGGGTCAGTGTCAAACTCATGTGAACAGCTTCTATAAGTCCTAATTGCATTTCATAAATGTCGCCTCGGTATGTCAATGCTTATCTTTGTTCACTTCGCTCAAAATACAGCGTTTTAACGTTAACTCAACACAATTAAATAAAAGACAAACTCTAGCCCCTGTAACTGTCAGCGTCAGCCCCTATTCCTCGTCTTTTTGCTTCGCTCCTCTTGCAAAGCAGCCATGGATCTTACTATTCAAGAAGAAAAAGGCTCACCGGATGCGGATGGTACAGGTAATCTCGTACAGATTCGATAACATCGTTACTGCTTAATCCACAATTCATTAATATGATGAAAGAAAGTTTGTTACCGTCTCTTGTTGACGGCGTAAAGCAGTCTTTCTCGGCACATGCCGAATTGACAAACAGTGAACAAATAACATTCACCGGGAACTCTGCCGGTTCAACAAGTGGAGATAACTAGCCCATTTCCGCCTCTGGGTAAAAAAAGGTCAGACACTTCCAAGACATACCACTGGGTCAACAAATGATGTAAATTTGTCAAGCAAACCACCCACAAAAACGCCTCGCTTAGAGAGTACAACCTCAAACACTGCACGTTTTGTTGAAGACGAAGACGAAGATGAATCGCTACCTGACAACTCGCAAGGGCACAATGAAACCTTTGAGAGTGAAGACGACCCACTAGAACTCACTGCTCAACGTTGGCAAGCTTCAGAGGAACATTCTGCCCTCCTCGACGTGTGTTTTACAAAACCACTTTCTCGTTTCGACAAACGTCAGCTGATAAAATTGTGCCCTCGTCAACAGGTAGGAAATTTGTCTGATCAGTAATGCGGGAGCAATATGAGTCACGCAATTGAGTGGAATACACGCAACGCGTGTTTACAAAAAAGCACAATCGTGTAAATATTGCCAAATGTTTGTACAAAATAAATTACTGTTTTATGTTGAAAATGGACATGATCTAAATTAATCATACAGAATTATTTAGTGACGTTCTATTTCAGTACCCTGCCATTGTCTCTGGTAGGCTGTCCGTGTGCATTTGATCTGAAACAGTTGCTACTTTGCTGTTGAAAAAGTCCGAATGTTTACATGAAAATAGAGGCAAGTCATGCATTTTACAACCTCGTTAACTGTACGAGCCCCTATTTTTACGCTTATCAAATCAAATAAGATATCAAATAAAAATACATGAAACAGAGAACATTTTTAGAAAGTTTTATCGTGCGGCCACGGCCAGTGGCCATTTTTAGAAAGTTTTATCGTGAGGCAACGGCCAGTTTTTAAAATATCTTTATTTCTGTTCCGGTCATCACCAAAATTACACTAAAGCCGGGCTTGAATATACAACAAATTTTGAATCTAATCAAATACAAAAATATTTAACGTGTAACAAAAATATGCTCATGAAATCGAAATTAATAGCTAAGTTTTCAAACTAGACCCTTCTCGAGCCGGTTTTCATGAAGGAAGTTCACATTTCAGGCTTTTAATTCTTGGCAAAAATTTGACCAACACGTGCGAAGCAACTGGGTCTCAAAGACTCAGCTAAAACATTGTAAGCCCCTATTTTCCTGACGATACGTTTGATACCTTCAAACACTAAAAAGTTTTTTCTTTTCATTTAGCTATATTTGAAATTGAGGCCACGGGCTATTTTTGAGAAAATACAGTTCAAACTCAAGCTATTTTTACATATTTTCAAAATTTGTCAAATTTCGCGAGCTTGTATTTTGAACTTAGCTGAAGTTACATTAAGAAACATAGGATGGAAAATTTGAGGCATATAAAGTTAATTTCAACTTACATTTCATTCTCATATCACGTCTTTCTTCGTTTCCTACGGTTTTAAACATGACACAGATCAACGTATACGGTATTTACTCCCATGTTCACGTAGCCAAATTAACTTCTTCCGATCACTCGATTACAAAACAAATCATCCCAAAACAAAGAATTCATTGTCGACTTTTAAAAGAATAATCGTTAATTTGTAAATCGTTGATTGGAAAGCAAAAAATCTTCAGCTAAAACAGCTTCTTGCTAACATTTTGCTTTGTTTTGAATGTAAATGCAATGAGCTTTGTTTCTTCCCGCGATTTTTTGGTCAGCGACGACAAATTTCTCACCTGTTGCCCTCGTCCTAATGTTGATTGTGTATATACGCCAGTCCGAGATCATTATCTAGCGGATTTAGTTCCGAAATGTAAAGTCGATGACAAGGCATTGCGGAAAACCGAAGATTTACTCCTTGATGTAACTGGACCAATTGCCATGTGCAATGAAATGGTCTTGCAAGGTCAAGAGCACCCAGCTAATATAGATCTCTCAGCTATAATGGGTTGTCTCACAAAATCCTTTCAGTTATTGGGCAATGTTAATGATCATATTCGTAATAAGAGACGAGCTCAAGTGCTCTCAAAAATTGGTATACGTCCTTATCTGATGAAACCTGGCAGACAAATGGCAAAGAGCTTTTAGCAATCAGTTTGAACAAAGACTGAAACAAAGAGCTGAGACTGCACGAACTATTTCATTTTCTAGTTTCACTCCCAAGGCATAGCTGTTTTTTCAAACCAGCAACTCCTTCCCAAAGCCATGGCAGAGAGGAGGTGCAAGCAAGTTCTACAATTACCAATACCCTCGGGGACGGGGCCAATCGTACGTGGAAGCAGACCATACAGGGGAAGAGGACGAGGATCGTCGACCTTCACCCAACCAACAATGTCACAAAGTCAATAGGAGCACCCTCCAATACAGGTATGTCACTGATGTAAAACATATCATTTCAAACCGTCTTGCCTTTAGGGGGCAGAATAACTCATTTTTCATGCAGTAAAAGGGCACAAATTAGAGATCACCGAAACTCCTCGTCAAGCATACGTTCCAAAAATCCATGTTACTCTCGAGGAAGCAGCTTTAATAGACCTCGAGATCCAAGTTCTGCATCAAAAGAATGCCATAAGCCGAGTGTCAAATCAAAACAATTGTCGTACAAATCATTTTGTAAGTCCCATGTTCACAGTCCCCCAGAAAGACGGTGGGCACCGGCCAGTCATAAATCTAAAAATGTTGAACCAGTTCATAGAATACCAACATTTCAAAATCGAAGGCATACCCATGCTAAAAGACCTGTTAAAACCGGGAGACTTTTTAACCAAAATAGAGCTGAAGGATGCTTACCTTACTGTCCCTATTTGGCCTCCTCACCAAAGATTGCTACGATTAATTCGGGTGGAAAAACAAGGTGACTGGACAGGGACTGGCAAGTGTCCCCCCCCCCCCGAACCTTCACAAAACTGTTAAAACCAGTCGTAGGGCAACTATGAAAAATGGGAATACGACTGATTATTTACCTAGACGACATTTTAATAATGTCCGAGTCAAAAGAGTAGGCTTAGAAACACACCACTGTGGTAGTCAGTCTTCTAAGCACTCTGGGTTTTGTGGTAAACAAAGAAAAATCAGTGTTCGAACCCACCCAGGTGCTCGAGTTTCTTGGCTTTCAAGTCAGTTCAGTCGAAATGAGTCTGTCGCCCCGAGGAAAAAAGATAAAGTCTATCAAAAACAATGCCAACATCTACAGAACAATCCCGCATTAGAAGTTCGGGTTCTTTCTCGGCTATTGGGAAAAATGTCTGCTTCAATTCAAGCAGTTTCCCCTGCCCCACTACAGTACCAATCTCTATTAAAGGCAAAAACCTTGCGTTGAAACAAAACCAAAGCTACGAGTCCCCTCTGTCTGTCGACCAAGCAGCAATACCAGAGCTAATCTGGTGAAGGGATCATCTGTCTGCATGGAAACGAACGCCAAGTCCCTCCTAAAAAGGCCAGACAGCCTGATTATTGAAACAGGTGCGTCAAATCTAGGTTGGGGTGGCACATACAATGGGATCCAAACAGGGGGCTGTGGTCTCACCGAGTGCGACTGCACCACATGAATTGCCTCGAGCTGATGGCTGGAGGCTTCGCAATAAAGTCTTTCTGCAAAAACAAAGCTTCCATCCAAGTAAAACTGCTAATGGACATTACAACTACAATAGTCTATGTAACCAAAATGGGGGAACCATCTCCAGTCCTCGCAAGCCTTGTGTTCGAAATTTGGCAGTGGTGCATACAGAAACAGATTCATCTCTCTGCCCAACACATTCCAGGCGTGCACAATGTCGCAACGAACGAAGAGTCCAGTGTAAACAGGGACACGCCCGACTGGAAACTAAGTCCGGCAGTATTCTCTCAATTAAACAATACATGGGGCCCATTCGAAGTAGACCTTTTCGCAACCCGACTCACAAATCAACTACCTCGATTCGTGAGTTGGAGACCAGACGCGTAGGCAGAACCCACCGACACATTCACACAAAATTTGTCTCTAATTAAAGGGTATGCATTTCCCTTATTCTACCTTGTAGGACGCTGCCTGGCCCAAATGAGGGACCAGAAGGTGGAGTGGTTGTATAGCACTATGGAAGACTCAGCCCTGGTACCCCCTATTGCTAGGGATGAGTGGGGATTATCCTCAACTTCTTCCAACACACCCAAAGTCTCCTAAGCAAAGGAGAGGAGCAATACCCTCTGTCTCATCTACAATTAGCAGGGTAGCCAATTCTATTCGACAATGGGAATTTCAGTCCAAGCTAACACCTTATTATTGTCGAAAAACAAACATCAACCCTGGTTTGCCAAACTATGAAAGGCATTTTTCAGAGCAAACCTCCGCTCCCACGATATTGCTCCTCTTGGGATGTATCAGGTGTCTTCGAATATCTTACGTCATTAGGGGATAATGAAGACTTGACAATGAAACAGCTCTCAGCAAATTAGCACTTCTCTTTGCACTCACATCTTTGGAGCGAGGGTCGGTACTAGTCGCGCATGACCTTAGATTTATAAAACCCCACCCAGAAGGGGTAGAGTTTTTTCTACCGGGACTGACAAAATCCATTCGAGTGGGTAAAAACCTCCAAGTCTCAGTTCATTGTAGCTTCCCCTCGGACAAACGATTGTGCCCTTGTGCATGTATTAAGGATTATGAGATTCGTATAGCACATTTAAAACCACAAAGTCCAGAACAAACCAACATTATTTTTCTAGCTCTTGTAAAACCGCACAAACCAGCACAAGCAGCAATTCTAGCGAACTGGATAAGAGATTTTTTATGCTTGCAGGCGTTGACTCCAACATATTTAAAGCTCACTCCACGCGGGGACCTGCCTCATCTGCAGCAGCTACGGCAGATCTTTCAGTAGAGGATATTATTAAAATGGCTATTTGGACAAACGACAATACCTATAGACGTTTTTATTACAAACCAGTCCATAACCCAACTTTTGGTGGGGCTGTTCTTGGTGAGAAAGTTGCTCTGAACTAGCATTGTTATATTGAGGCGACATTTATGAAATGCAATTTCAGATTATGCAAGACCCGTAGGGTTGCAGTATAAGATGAATTGCATGAATAAATGGAGACGAGATATAACAATGTTTCCTTCCTGACCTCCCTTATTTAGATTGGTATTATGTTTCCTTTTCAGGTTCCGCTTCAGCAAAAAGACGAAGAGTAGGGGCGGACGCTGACAGTTACAGGGGCTAGAGCCTAGTCACAGAAGAGATAATACCAGAAGTCTCACTCGAGCGGAAACATATCCCATCTTTTTTATTGCGCATGCGCGAGCTAAACAAGTGTAATGCAATGTTGACAATAGAAAATTATATTGGGAAGTTGTCATTCCTACAGTAAAAACAGCTTTTTTTCAAGTAGTACGAAATGTGACTTCGATTTATCTGTGGAACTATTTGAACAGAAGGTAAAGCAGTAATTTTGTTGTATTTAGAAAGGAAACAGGGTCATATTTTTAAAAAAATAGCGCACTAAATATATTTTGAGCATCATTAAAATGTGTTCGCTATGATGCCATTTTGTCTCCGGTATATACGGAGTACTGCTTTTATACTGGTGGATATTCGAATTTATTTGGCTCAAAAACACCATTACTTCAATATCCCTTTCTCGTTTTTCCTTGGATAGGTTTTAACAAGATAGAACTCTAGATGACTTGGGTCCAAAAACGCTAGATTATAAAATCCTGATGTGACTTGATACTACAAATAGAATATGTCTTGTGATTTAATACTACAAATAGAATGACTTTTAAGTACAAACTTCAATGAATTGATAAAGGGTAAGGATAGTGTTGAATGTTGCTTCATGTGTAGAAGCTGAATTACTTTAGTTTATACTCTGTAATGTCGATAACCGTGACATGTTGATATGACTTGAATACTAGCAACTTGCAATAAGTAGTCTGTCCTGCTTGTTTATAATACTTTAGAGTTTGGACATTAGAACATTGTAGTTGCCTGACAGAGACTGTTAGGGCCTGTTTGTATGGAAGCCGGGTAAAGTGTCTTATGTTTGTAATATTTTTGTACAATACCTTTTTGAAATTGTTGATACTGGTCTCATTGTAACTCAGTTATTCCTTCTCAAGAAAAATAAAAAAAAAACAAAGCTGTATGGGTGTGTTTTTGCTTCAGTTTTTACATTTACATGACTCATGTACAATTAATGTACATTTAAATTAGCTTTGTTCAATGAATACAGGTGTGATTCAAATATCATTCCTGTCTGGTACTTGGGTCAAGTAGACATAAGCATACCAAATCATGCTATGAATTGGAATACAAGTATAGGGTGTGTATTGTTTAAATAAATATATATTCCAGTTAACCCAGTAAGCTGCATTGTGCCCCAATGCACCCTACTTTACTAGTTTATTTCACTTCATCTAATGCCAGATGATTTTACTTATCGAGGGAGAGTGCTGCTGCTCATTGAGCTCTGATTGAGTTCACTGAGTGGCAGCACTTTCTCTTTGACGAGTGAAATTGTCTGGTGTTAGACAGAGTATAATAATCTTGCGTTCAATAAAGTAGCTACTTTTTCAAAAGCTCAACCAGGCTAAAGATTCTTTGATTTGAAAACCAAAGTGATAGTGAACTAGTTACCGGTAGTTGAAACAAACAGAATTGTTTGATTTATTTACTTTCCACAATATTGACAATTAAAATTTAATTTGATACTTTTCCAGTATGCATTCTTCATTGACATTATAGAGGTTCAGATTTGACTGTCATTACCATTAAGGGACCATCAAATGCATTTGATATATTCGATCAACCATTATAACCAATCAGATGCATACTAAGGCAGTAGGAGATAGTGCTAGTAGAACTCAAATCTTAACCTGTACAATGAAAGTGCGAGTTTATTCATAAACTAATTATACGTAAATCAACTTTCATGCAATCATCTAGTTATGCACCAGTCAATGTAAATCCCTGCCCCCAACCGGGGAGGGGCGGGAGGTTTAGCGGGGAAAGTGGTCAGTTTGGATTATAAATTTGCCCCGATGATGGGAGACTTGGA